CGAAATACAATGTTGTCCCACGACTGTCATATTTTCAGGGTAAATTTTAAAAGAAAATTCTCTTCGTGTATAGTGTAAACCATTTTAAACAACAAATTAATATTATATCAGCTATCTACAGTCGAAAAAAGAGATTTTTCTGCCGTGTCTTGTTTGAGTTATAAGCATTTTAACAATCAACCCCGTACAACATACAGCCCCGGTCTCCCCTATTACATAACCTTCCTACATACATTACAAGTATTATGACATGAGATACATATTTCATGTAATACGTTTATTTCATTTAGTACACTGAATTCAATCTGCGCACTCTATATGCTTTGGGCATAAATCCCGCCCGCTAAAAAATATACCAGAATTACCCTATAATAAACATACACAGAAGTCTTTGAGAAAATTTTATGATTTTCGGTATATTTTTTTTTGTTTTTCATAATGTTGATTCTCCTTTTTCGAATGTCATATACTCACAGCATGTAGGCGCTCTCGTAAAAAAAGATTATCAAATTAATTTTCTTTGACAATTTAAACTGTAAACTTAATAACTTCATCAATATACCTTTCGCAGTACAAAAAGATGTGATTGGAAAGAATTATTAACTTTAATTGTTTTGGACTAATTTGAAAATTTGATTTTATTTGAAAGAGGTAGATACACTGCCATTACATCCTCGTTGTTTGCTAACGTTAAACAAGGATGAAATGATTCATTGTGTTACACTGCATCTTTGCTGGAAAATGCCCACTAATAATTGAATGAGAAAAATTTCAAAAAGTTTTGGAAATCCTTTTTAAATTTCCCTAAACAAAAGCGTAAAAGTACTTACTCCATATTGTAGTCATCAAATTTTGCCAGTAGTTGAAAGTCAATAAACCATAAATACCAATAGCGTGCAATAGAAAGACTTGGAAAGCGATATACCATATTATGTCAGTTTCGAATTTGAAAATACTTGGTTTTATCATTTTGGTTTTTTTATTGATGTCGTCCCTTGCCATTAATTCTCATCAAATCTGTATCGATGGTCGCAATTTCTTTCATATACATTATTATAGTACAAGCTCGAGACATAATTGTATTGTAATCTATTATCACGAACGTTAATGTATAAATAAATTCTTTGAAAGCAAAAAGATGCAATAAAGTAAGATCTATCACACAATTAGAAGTATAATGCAATTTTCAATCAAAATCTTTGATTAATTTTACTTTATTTATATAGTTAACAATTATGTGTATGTACATTTTAATTCTATATGTTACATATATACATACGAGGGTCGTCTGAAAAAT